ATATTTGCCTATTCAACATTTTCGTGTATACAATTCAGGTTCCAAATCACCTCAACCCGTCATATGGTTGAATCTTAGTAATTAATGTAAGTCTCAAAGAAATAAGTTCTAAAATTAAATCACGATACCCTTGTTTTGTGACAAATCCATTTAATTAAGTAGTATACATATGAAATGTTTCCCATTTAAATTCAAAAGAGGACTTACACAGTGACTACAAAACAGTATGTTCAAGATGAACAAGTTTTAAAAAAATAAAATACACACTGAGAAAGTAAGAGAATGTACAGCAAAATGGTCTTATCTGCCTTTTCAACGAGATGTATATATTACCTGTGCATTGTTTATTTTAAAAGGAGGTAACAGAATTTGAGTTCAGTCGAAAAACCCCTCTATGAAACATGAGCGCTTGTACTACATTTTGTTAATAACCACTTCAAATGTTTAAAATGCACTTACTCAAAGTTCATCATTCTGTTTGGAACAATTTTTGTTTGAAAAGAAAATGGCCATGTAATTCAGAAAGCAAATAGGCATAAAAACAAGCGACAATCTTTGTCACACTGACCATTACAGTAAAATAAGTAAAGCTGAAGCTAACCAAAAATACCTTTATTTTCATCTTCAAACAACAACTGTTAACTTTTTGTTCTCCCAAGAAAATCATGATTACCTTTCACAAAAATTGGGCATTTACAGTGCATCTTCAAAGTATTTCCCTTTAACGGGAAACTTAGCATCATAGTATCTCAAGACCAAAAAGTTTTAAAAAAAAAAATCCATCTTGTGGCTTTTATAAATGAAACAGAAGCAAGAATAAGTCATGAAAATCCACTCAGACTTCAGGTCCATTTCCTCCTGGAACCAGCATTGTGATGTAATTTCCATTTAGCAATATCTGATCTAATTTAGTAATATTTCTTCCTTCTGGTGTGATTTCAAATTCAGTGACATCTTCCAATACCATATTAACAAAGTCATCAAAACCTAGAAGGGTGCCGGCAATGTCCTTGTCACTCTTCATCACAATGTGAATTCCGGATCCTGCTACCTGGAGGCAGCAGCTGCGACAGGTTGGTAGTAGCGTTCGCCGACGCCGGAAGTGGGCTGCTCCATGATACCCTTTTTAATCAAGTTAAAAACGACCAAGATAAAAGGTGCTTGGTGGGAATCTGTAGAGATGAAATTAAACAACGCGAGTGAATGAAACACTGGATTCAGGGCCGTCCTTCATCCTGAAAGGCCAGTGGAGAAGGCATCCTGGTTGTCTCCTCTCTTGGGTCTATGGGTGCTTTTTCCATGACTGGAGGCCCTGGGTAGTGCAAGCAGCTAAGCACTAACCGAAAGGTTAGAAATCCAAGCCCACAGAGTGGCAGCTTAGAAGACAGACCTGGAACGTCCCGAACCAAATCAGCCACTGAAGACCACGAAGCCCAGTTCCATGCCGACACCACAGGGGATCACGGCGCTCAGTCTCCACTCAACCGCAACCGGGGTCGTCTGTTTTTGTTCTTTCAACCAGGCAATTAAAGGTTACTAAGTAGATAGAAACATAGGCTTGAACTTGGGCTAAAAATACGTTTAATCCAATTCTAAGGTTTAAAGAAATAAAATCGGAGCTTTGAGCAGGTCTGCTGTGTCCCCCAGGTTCTGAGGGCAGGGCCCAGGCATGGCTTTCTCTCCTGCCTCCTCTTCCCACCACGTTTCCCTCCAGGAGTCCCCAGTTTGTCTTCAAGTTTGCTCCGAGCAGCCAAGCGTTTGGGAGGAGTTGGCCACAATCCCAATCCAGAGGAGGGTCTGAGTGACCCAGATGGATGCGGCCATCTGACCCCGGGTTCAGCCATCAGCCTTAGGCGCTGAGGGACGGGCACCGGGTGGGAAAAGGCCTTCTCAAAGGGAAGAGAGGGCCTCCATCTGCCAGGTGGAGGGCAGAGGCCTTCGTGCCCGCACTTACCCTAGGAAGCATGTGGCCCGGCCTGATGCCACTGGGCATAATGAGGCCAGAGCTGAGAGGGTCCCAGAAACAGCCAGCGCCCCACCAAACACTACTGGAAACTTGAAATCTCACAGGGCTCTTCAGTTACACGAGTCCTACTATTGTCATGAGGAGCAGCCAAATGACTGTCAACTCATAAGGACGCCGCCATGTGTCCCAGGGAGGCTGCCCCACAGGGCTTTGATGGTTGTCATCTTGAAGGGAGCACATCTCCGGCTCTTTCTCCCCCAGAGCAGCTGCGCGGGTTCAAACCGCCAACTTTCTGCGGAACAGTCAAGCGCTTCAGCACTGCACCACCAGGGCTCCTTACAAGAGCCCTACACAATTTTATAAGCCGAAGTGAGTGGGCTTTTAAGGACTTGTGACAGGAAACATCCTCACAGCAATATTCCCAGCCTAGGCCATCCCTCACCAGCCACTCTGGAGGGGTACAGAAATGAAGATGAACAGTAAGTCCCTGAGGCCTTTACATCGGAGGGGCAACTAGGGCACGAGCCATAGACTGCTGGGGTCCCAGAGAGGAAACGGAGGTGGAAGCAAACCCTTAAGAGTGAGTGGGCGCCGAGATGTGTCTGGGGGGACCCAGGGCGGAGTCCAGCGAGCCGAAGGGCAGAACCAAAGAGGCAAAGGTGAGAAGAGGCAGGACGGCACTGGAGGCCTGGAGACTTGCTGAATGCTTCTATTGTTGACTAGCAGGCGCTCACACAAATGATGCCTTTCAATCCGTACAAGGCAGATACAATGTTTTATCCCCTTTGGATACAAAAAGGGGCACAAGAGATTAAGTAACACTGCCAAGGTCAGATAGCTGCCCAGTGCGTCAGCAAAGCTGCCCGACGCCCTCACCTGACCACTGCCTCCCTAAGCAGTTCACACGGCCTCGTGGGTTCCCAGCAGAGTTTGTGCGCAGGAAGCCCTGAACGGCTGCGCTAGGTACCAGCGACAGGGCTCCACGGTCAACACGACCTTCGAGATGTGGCCCTTTCCTTCCAGAAACTCAGGTGAATGTGTATAAAGCAGAATGATGAGTAGAACCCTCTCACGCATACGTAATAAATACATGCACACGGCCATGAGGAGTTTCTATACTGTGCCCATCGTTGAAAGGGCACAGAGCACTCTGGGCCCACCCTGCCTTTCCGTGTGTTCTGAGAACAGCCCACAGAAGGTGACTCAGGATGTTTGTCCTTCTCCAGGCCCTGGGCCTTGGCTTTTCCGACCATATGTGCACTGACCTACCAGGTGTTCCTGGAGGGCCAGGTGGGACTCGCCACACCAGCAGATTTCCTCCCTGTCAGGTTGCGGCACAGCCTTCCTATCTCTTACCTCAGCTTCCTCTGTCCCTCTGTTGAGTCATGGGGGGAAGCTCCTTGCCTGTGACCTCCAGGGTGGAGAGGGCAGGCCCTGGAAGGAGTGCCTTGCTCTGAGCAGGATCAAGAGATGAAAGATGAGCACAGAGAGAGAGTGTTTTCCTACTACGTGATTGTGTTGGTCTGAGTAAACTAGAGAAATAAATCTACAGAAACTCATATATGTATAAGACAGTTATATATATATTACATATACATTCAGAAACCATCCCAACCCAGTCCCATCCAAGTCCATAAGTCCGACTCAGCCCACATGTCTGACAGTGATCTACAAAGTTCTCCTCACACTCACAAAACACACACAGTGACACTGAATGCATGAGGATCACAGGCCAGTGGGTAGAAAGTCTTTGAATCTAGTGGCTGTGTAAGCATCTCAGCGCTGGCAGGGGTCTCCACACGGCTGCTCCAGCACCCAGAGCTGCATCACGGTAGGTCCATGTGGCTTCTCCTCAGGGATGTCTTGCAGGAAGTGAGCCTTGCCAGCTAAAGCAGGGAATTGACTAAGGCAGCTGCACCCTGGTCCGACCATCAGAGAGCAAGAGACCCGAGAACTAGAAAGGCGAGGCTCACCGAGCCATTTATCTCTCTGCCCTTCAATTAATCCCATATGTGTTTATCGGCCAGGTTGGCACAATAAACTTAACTATCTCAGTGATGAAGAGGGCAAAGTGAGGCTCATTTCTGCCTTTCACTTGAAGAAACCAGGTTGTGAAAAAATGGACAAAAATGTGATTTACACAAGCATTAAACTACACTTAAGGTACACAATTAACCATCCTTTCTCCCCAACGTTCCCCCTCCCCTCTATGTGTTTATACCTATCTTTTTGCCTCAAATGGGACAGTTTTCACTTGACAACTAACATAAAAGCCGACAGTTCAAACCCATCCAGTGGAGCCATGAGAGACTGGCTTGGTGATCCGTTTCCCTAAAGATTACAGCCAAGAAAACTGTGTGGCTCAGTTCTACTGTGCGACACCCGGGGTTGCCAGCAAGGGAACAGGCTGGGTCTTGGTTTCTCCTATCGAACATTAGTGCCAGCAGAGGGCTTGCTGAAACAGATTGCTGGCTTTCTACCCCAAGCTCTCTGACTCAATGGGGGCTTTGGGGTGAGACCTGAGAATCTGCATTTCGAGCAAGTTCCCAGGTACTGCACCTGATGCTGGAGAGCCCCAGGCCCCATAACTCTAGACCGAGAGCAACACGGTTCTGTGTCCTTGTCTTGCTTTATCTTGGCACATTCTAAAAGAAGGCACTAGAAAAAGCAGGGGCCCAACGATTATCACGGCCTCATCCAGAACCAACTTCAAGTCACCAGTTGACTTAGGGATTTCTAGTCCATCACGATTAAGGCCAGTTGTGGGTAGCTCAAGAAGCACTTTCCTTTTTTAAAAAAAATCGCTTTATTGGGGGCTTTTACAGCTCTTATCACAATCCATACATTCATCCATTGTGTCAAGCACATTTGTACATATGTTGCCACCATCATTTTATTTTTTTTACCATTTTTTATTAAATACTTTTATTGGGGATGCTTACATCTCTTATCACAATCCATACATTCATCCAGTGTGTCAAGCACATTTGCACATATGCTGCCATCAGCATTTTCTTTCTTTTTTTTTTTTTTTTCAGCTTGGTGGTTTCCCCTTTATTGATGTGCCTATCTCCCCCATACAATTTTAGTCCCTTCCATCTACCCCCCAAATAGAAGGCAGTGAAAGGCATTGCTGGGGTTCTGGGCCCCTTGGGTAGTTGGAAAGGGAACAGAAACCGAAAACAATCACTGGATGTAAGACTGACAGCCGAGAAGTCTGAAGTGGAGTGGGAGAGGTGGCAGAGAAAGGTGAAGAGGAAGAAAGAAAAGGAGAGCAGCTAGGGGCCATTTCCACCATTACTGCGCCTGCTAGGAAGGGCTGGAGAGAAAGCCGCAGACATGAAGGAGTGCAGGTCCTGAAGAAGGGAGGTGGTACTTGAGCCTGAAGAAGGGATGGGTCAAGAAAGGGGGGCCACCTTTCTCTTTGCAGAATGGAACACCCCCAACTCCAGGGCAGTGGCTTCACAGACCGTACACACTCTCGTCACTGTAGGCAATGTATAGAAAGAAGTCTTCTTCGTGGTGTTCCTGGTATAGCTGACCCATTGTGGCACTGGTGGGCGGAATGACATTGTTGACAAAGAAAAACAAGGCATCTTCAGCTCGGAGATGAATTCGCTTCCGGATCAAGAAGTAGAATTGACCGACTGTGAGATCAGACGGTACCAGGTATTTCTTTTTGTCCAGGTCACCTATCCGAGCTTTGGGCGCCTTTTCTACTATCACCGGGACCCGGTCCGGATATTTTTTTCGGATCTTCTCGCTCTCAGAGCGGCGCTTCTCGAACGGATGCTCCT